CGTTAACGACGCTTCAGTGAGCAACGCTGCGACGACTGCAAGTACGACTGCGACGGCAGCAAGTACGACTACGACGCAGCGAACACTTCGGCCTAGACAAGCATCACGCTCGGTACAAGAAGAGCAAGCGGCTAGAACCCATGAAGTCACCCAAGAGTCGACTGCGACGGGGAACTGTGGAAATTAGTGGATCTTCTTACTACCGCGTCATTAACGAGACAATGTTCGCGATTCTCGGTCTACGAGAATTGAAAATCGTATTTCCTGATTCTGAATCGGACAGAGAGGTTGTGATGAACGACTTTAAGGCTATCAGCTCCAGTGGAATAATAAGCGGTTGTGTCGGCTGCGTAGACGGATGGCTATGTGTTACTAAGGCGCCTTCAGCTGAAGACGCTGGAGACGTAGGAACTGGACGCTATTATAGTGGACACTATGCATGTCCTGGTATCAATGTGCAGGCCGTGTGCGATGCGCATTGTCGCTTCATATCTGTGGATGCCAGCTATCCAGGAAGTACAAATGATGCACGTGCTTTTCGTGGGACTGGTGTGGCGAGAAGTCTCAAATCATTTCCTACAGGAATGTATATCATCGGCGACAATGCGTATCCTGTGAGTGAGCATTTGATCACGCCATTTACACGCAATCAAATTGTTGACGAGTACCACGACTCATTCAATTTCCATGCTAGTCAAATACGAATCAGAATTGAAATGGCTTTTGGTCTTTTGACTACAAAATGGCGGGTATTTCGATCTCCTATCTCACGGAACCTTTTAAATGCTACCACTACAATTTACACAGCTATGGTGCTGCATAACTACGTGATTAACAGACGTATAATATCTGATGCCGACTATTGTTTATTTGACGAGTCGGTTCAACCCATTCGCGTCTCGCAAAGAGTGCAAAGATTAAATGACGTTGCCAATCTCATGGGTTACATGTCAAGTGATCTTGTTGTTGAAGAAGGTAAAAGCTTACCGGAAAAAAAAAAAAAAAAATTTTTTTTTTTTTTGGGGAATAGCCGCGCGACGAGAGATATCTGTTCCCCCCCCCCCTCGGATAAATACCTGTTCCGCCCCGTACAACATTCACCCAATGGATGTAAACAATAAATGAAATATGATCTGACACATTTATTGTTATTTCTATAGAGCTTCTCTTGCACAACTGTTCATGTCTTCGTTTACCTCCATTAGGTCGTCATGAGTATATATTCCTCTGGAGCACGAAGAATCCGCTCTCTAAGCTCCATGAGCGATTCAAGAGCTCATCAGCTGTGCCAAGCGACAGTCTAGCTCAAGCGCCTGAGCCGAGGCGTTATTGGCTTGCATTGTCGTAAGAATATCGCTCAAATTGATCTCTTTCACTTTTGACTTCCCTTTCTTCGAGCGAGTACGTTGTTTTTTTGATTGACGAGATCCTCCAACCTCGTCGTCGTCGCTGTCACTACATCCCTCCATTGTATGTAAACGAGCACGTTTTGGCAGTTTCCCTTCTACGGACTCCAACAAACCAGGTTTTTCACGCATCCACTCACGCATGTACAGGACGTCGATTTTTCCGGAGCAGAAAGAAAAGAAATCATTGTCGTGCACGCCTGAAATTTGAGAGTTCGCCACAGCAGTAGCATAACGACCAGTAATATCCTTCCACATATTTCGTAATTTTGCAGCTTCGTGAGGAACGGTGAACTCAGGATTGCATTTTTTCGCAAAATGTCACAGAGGGAGAAACAACTTGGCTGAATTCCTGGACGCGAAACTCAAGTACGCTGAAGTGAAAGTTCGTCCCAAATGTGCTTTTTTCTTGAGTCATGTTTGTATCTCAACTCGGCCCTGGTTGCTCTAGCGTCAATTTCATGAAGCCGGTGTGCAAATAAATCCGAAAACATGACATTCAAAAGCCGTAGCATGCAGTGGCGAGTACGACGTTTGTTACCCACTACACCGCGTTCAGCCGGACCTTCCTCCACACCTAGACGTTGCATCTCGCTGAACGCGCGCTTCTGTTGCATTAATAACGCAACATATCCTGACTTGTGGTCGTTGGCGTCCGGGCCTTTTTTAACGATACGTAGCTGCCGAAGGTAACACTCTGTGCGAAGTTGTTTAGCTCCAAATGCCATCAGACACGATTCGGCTTCCTCTAGATTCATGGTGCCGCTGTACATGACATCACCAATAGTCGATGCAGTCGCGAAAATGCCGTCGTCAGATGTAGGGGTAGTTGGAGGTACCGTAGGTGAAGGCAAACAAGGAAACATAACGGAGGAGGAGGACATGGCGATAGATTGACAGATGACCGCTGGTTGCTGATGTGGACTGAGTGCTTCAGGAGACTTGATGGAATAAGCTGTATAAACCCCAGCCAAAGGTATCGTTCTATCCCGTCAGCCTCCCGTCCACCTTCCGTCCACGGCCACCAACCCTAATTTCACACAGTGGACGTGGATCAAACGGACCATACGGCGTCCACTGCCATATGGATCCAAGTGAAATGATTGGGCCATGGAAGCATAATCCACCGTTATTTTTTTGGCTAAGAACGGCCCTTATTTCAGCGCAAATATGTAAAATATTCTGCAATAATTTATACTTAAAAAAGTAAGTTTCAATTAAATTGAACTAATGTATTTATTGTAATAATTGGTCAAAATACAATATTATGGATTATTCCTGTACTGCAATGTATATTACTGAGCTTGAAAACTAAAATATCATAAACTATTTTCTTTTTCAACCTCTGATTCACATCGGAAAATAATCGATCAATTGGCTGCCTTGTCAGCTGAACCTAGACT